TAATATGATTAATACATTCTCGTTATCACTTTTCCCCCCTAAAATACTATTAAACCAAGTATCAAAAGAATATTACAATGTATTATTTTAATTCTACTCTTCAACCTGAGTTGCATTAATATTTCAATGTATTGTGTTCTCTCCGTCCCATATTATATGTCGTTGTTTGTGGTTGCGCACATATTAAGAAACTCAATAACTATACATAAATTATAGCAAGACAATATAGTAAATACTATAATACCCTTGTCATTAACAATTAAGAGTGATAATAGGTAAAATTAAAAAAAATGCAATTAATATTTTCTTTAATTCTAAAGTGACAAATAATTTGGAACAAAAAATTCTCTACAAAGACAAATAATATGGGATAGATGAAGTATTGATGTTATGTATAGTATTGAACTGGAGTTTTTGATTATGTTATTTTGAAAAAAATTAAGAATCTTATTTAATTTTATTTTAGGGATAATTAGCAAGAACCCCTTATATAGGAAAATGAGTTAAGAAAACACCTCCTCCCAAAAATAATTAGAGAAAACCCCTTTAGCTAATATTCCACCCATGTGATATTTTCATAATTCCAAAATTACCCTTAATTGTCTATTATACTCTCTCAAAACCCTAATCTTATTTTTATTTTTTCATCCGCCGTTTTCACGCTCCAACGTTTCTCTTCTTCGTTTTCTCCTTGACTTCTCCGCCACTATCGCCGCCACCGCCGCCGGGAGATGGAGAAAGAAAGAAGATGAAGCACCCATCAAACATTATAAATGATTTTGATAACGATTCTGAATTCGAATGCCATGAATGCTACATTGGAGGCGAATAGAGATAAGATTGTCGATTTATCGTCGGAATCTGATTTTGATTTTGGTGGTGCGAGTTGTAAATTTATTTATTTATTTGTAATAAAAAACCGTCATAATGTCAAAGTAAGATGGTGATGGTGTGTTGTAGCGGTGGTGTCGTGACGATGGGGAGACATATTTAGGGTTTAATTTTTTGGTGGATCGGGCGGAGGACGACGCCGGTAGAGAATTTCGCGCATGCTGAAACCTTAATCGACTATGTACATGTTCATAGTCGATTAAGCTAATCGACTATGCTCTGGCAGTCGATTAAGGTTGATCGACTCCAATTTTTTTATTTTTTTTGAACTTTTTGTTTATTGATTTCAATTGTATAAATCATTTATAATATTTATATATTTTTTGTTTTTGTAATATATAGTTGATTTTGTATTTTTTTCGCAGTTGTGATATGTTATTTTTAGTAGCAGATTCTTAATCGACTATGCTTCACATGATAGTCGATTAATATATCTGATATAAAAAAAATTTAAAAAACTAAAAAAAAAAATAAAAAATTAAATAATTTCCTTAGTCAACTATGAAGCATAGCCGATTAAGGCTAATCGACTATGCTTCATATTCGATTAAGGAAACTGATACAGAAAAGATGGAAAAAAAAACAGAAAAAAAAAATTCGCTGAGCGCGTGACCCAGTGATGATGTGGCGGGCGGGGGCAAAGCTGGAAAATATAATGGTTGAAAATTGGTGTGAGCTTTTCTCAGATGGACTAAAATATTTTGGGCCTCCCTTCATTAAAAAAATAGTGAGGTGGTTTTCTCAAAGAGCCCCTTTATTTTAACATGTCAAGATACAACATTTATCGTTTGACTTTATAAATTCAAAAAAAAAAAAAATTGTTACATCTTTAAAATACTTATACTCATTATTATATATATGTTCTTTTTTATAATAACTAGGAAAGTGCATGTGCGTTGCACGTGTCGTAATAAATATATAATATGTTGGCGGCATGTTATTTGGCATTCTTAAGAATGGTGTGAGCCAGATACAAATTTGTTACACAAACAAGATATAGATGTGGATTTTCTGTAAAGTTGATGAGCAATATTAGTTAAAACAAAGAAAAATAGGTTTGTTCATAATGTTGTGAACAGTTTGCTTTTCTAAATGGGCGTTAGAAGTCATTCAAAATTAATTGCCCCACATGTATCATGAAAATGTACTCCATAACTTGAAAAGAAAAAAAAATAGTCCTCATAATTACAAATTTGGCATAAATTGTATAATGTTGTTGTTTGCTAATCATTATGAAAAATTAAGATTAATCAAGTGTAGCATCGAAGAAAGTAAAAAATCATCCTTAATCTTAAGAAAATGGGTAAAATACAGTTTGCACCCCATTAGTTTTTAAAAGGTCACTTTCACCCCCTTAACTATTAAAAAACTAAAAAAATCCCCCTATTTTTGATAGCCGGTCAAAATAAATTATACCATATTAAATTGTACCATATTTTTTTACCCCAAAATTGTATCATATGCAACACTTGTCTCCTTAAAGTATTATTTGTAACACCTACCCCTCAACCCTCTTTTAATTTACTGATAAAAAAAATAACATTTAATTTGTATATCAAATGTTAATACCTTCAAAATTTCTCTTTTATTGGATGGAATATATTAACAAAATGTCATATCTTAATATTTAAAAATATTATATTGCATTGGGTACAAATTCAATAACATAACATCTAATTGTTTTTTGTAACAAATAATATTTTAAAAACACTAATAATTAAGTTATTAAACAAACTTAAGTATCTTAATTTATTTTAATTCATCAATTTTTGAAAATATATTGTCACTCATTATTATACAATATATATTATTATCAATGTTTTTCCGATTATTTAATATTAGTTACTTTTAAGTTCTATAGTATCCAATAATTATTGTAATGTTATGCTATTTATTCTACCAAAGAAATATACAATTTTACAGTTTCAAATATTGCATTGACTTTTCAATTGATATTTTTGATAAATTATGTGAATTGTTTTTCAATTATTCCATCCAACCAAAGTGGAAATATATTAAGATTATTATTGTTTTTTAAAACTTAAGATGTAAAATAATTGATGCAAACAAGGCATATGTTAATATTATGCAGCAGCGTTGTTAAGCCTTCACGCGTTGCAGAGAGAAAAAATCGGTTGCCGATCAGCTTGCGGCATGGGACATAATGAGGGGCGGACCCAGAGAGTATTGCCACA